TGATATATCTTTATTTGCTAACTTACTAGGACATTCTTTAATATTGATGCATGTGCCGTTTCGTTCTGATAAAATTTTGCCATCTGGACAACAGTTGTATTGAGATGCGCAACCACAATTCTTTGGTTTTGGATCAGCACAAGTTGGAGTGCATTTTGACAGACACGGATTAAAACCAGCTGAAAAACAAACATTATGTTAGTACCAAGTTTCTGAATGAAGATTAAAAGTTAAACACGTCTCAAACCGTACTTAAATCATCTTTAACGTCACTTAAATAAACAAAGGTTAAGTAAGATTATTGAAAACAAACTCGTATTTCTTTTGTTGGCATCATCTTCGTGTACTCTTTAAAACTGTTGTGTACTTACGACATTTATTGGCCGGTATGCAAAAACCAAATTTATTTCTAAAATAGCCATCGGCACATATACAACGCGGTTGGCAATTCAATATAAGTGTATAACAAACACTCTTTGGATCATTTACACTTCGGCAGTCTTCTGCTAGACAAGCGGATGGACACGAAGACCATACTTCATTTGGTCTTGTACACTTCACTGGTGCTAAAACAAATTAACAGCAAATTTCAATTCAAATGTCCGAGGGTAGAAGTACAAGTGTGTACTTAACAAAATAAAAACTTTCATTTAAGAGTCATAGATTTGTTGACATTAATGTAATATATAACTAATGATATAAATATATAGAGCTGTTTTACATATTTTGATTAAGTTTTAGTTCGAAACTACCAGGTTGTACTAGTCGTATGTAAGAAGGGTAATTAAATTTTGCCTCTTTTGTAAAATAACTACCAAATTATTTACCATAAAATCAATATTAAAAAAATTCACAACAAACCCTTTCGTTTGATATCTGACAAGATATGATTTTTATATTATAACTTTTATACACATCTTTAGATGCAGTTTATCATCCTAAAGGGTTCCATTCCTTTTTCAAGTCTCAGAAAAGACACGGAAACCAAAAAAATATAGATCTTCTTAATGAAAAATGCTAAGAAAATCCACTTTGTCCCTAGCACTCTGAGATGGAACTCGAACCCATGACCATTCTGACGAATTTTTCAAGCACTTGTTACGTTTTCGCTACTACAGAGCGTATTTCATCAATATTATATTGAGGCAATCCACCCCAATATCCGAAAGAAATATTTTCTAAAATATTTATAATTTCGATAAAGATGAAAACTCGTTCTAAGTATTATATTTTATCAATTTTGCATTTGATCTTTCTTTCGCAATCCGGGCGACTACTCTAACCACTGAGCTACCCAGGACCTAACAGGACTCAGACCATCTCAGAGTGCCAGGGACGAAATGGATTTTTTAAGCTTTTTTCATTAAGTATAATTTTCAGTGTAGCATTGTGAATAGAAAATTGATAAAATATAATAAGATAGATTTAGAATTTGAATAACTAGTTTATAAAATATATTATAGTAATTCACTAAAATACTTACGACAGTCTGAAGCAAATATACATCTGTCGTCATTGTAACTCAATCTCCTGTAGTTGAACTTGCAAGCGCAACCGGAGGGACAATTAGGTCCCGGTCTGCAAAATACTGTTTGTCCTGTATCGTCCTTAGGACAGTATTGATCTGGACAGCGGAATGCACATTGCACGAAGGTGCTGTTTGGTCCACATGGATCGCCTCCTTGAGTTAATTAAAATACATTATTAGAAATTCAAAACACATAAATTTAAACAGAAAACATAAAAAAATGATAAAGTTCAAGCAATCCATGTCCTCTTGCATAACATATCTTGGGCTTGCAGCCACAATAGTGTTTGAGATCGCAAATTGAACTAGAGTTTCCTAACTCGTGACGATCATTTTTCAACGGTTATTGGAGGCAGTGGCGCAACTACAGCGTGGCAAATCGGCAAAATGCAAAACCCCCAGCTGGAAGGGGCCCCCGGTCAGAGGAGACTAATTTCTCCAGACATTTATTACACAATAAGTAAAAAGAAATAGAATGTCAGATAAATTTGCCACGAGCCTCAGAAGGTAAAGTTACGCCACTGATTGGAGGTGTCTGCAAGTATATCGTTTTTATTAGACGCAGAACGTGTTCAAATGTGGTGAAGTTAACACCATTATGCAGCTATCAAATGCTATCGCTACAATGTTGAGACCACACGTCCTGTAGCCTATTGATATCGCCGCCGGCGGGCGACTGCTCTGTCATTTGAGATACCAGTGATCGTTGAATATCTCAAGTTCTTGCTCTAGTGAGCGTATATTCACAAATTCTCAGGTGTCCCTTACACCCGAAAGAAATATTTTAACACCACACACATCACATCACCAGCTTATTGATGTCCCCATTGTTGGGGTCCAGGCCGTCCCTATAAATTTACGACTGCAGATGCAGCAGGGACCAACGGCCTAACTAGCTTTTCTAAGCACGGGGGAGTTCCTGATAAATTTTTGGTCACCCATCCTATAACTGAACATTGCGAATGTTTCTTAACAACCATATCGCAGACGGACCGCGCAAAAATATTTTCACGGTAATTAATTTTCAATGTAACTTCATAAAGTTGATGATGATTGACAGTGGAGTGATTAGTGGGATCAATCTGCAATGTTAAAGTTAATCGAATTTCACAAGGACCATTCATAGGATAGGTGACTAATAATTTATCGTGATAGAGCTTAGACGTTGGTTCTAGCCACATCTGCAGTCGTAAACACGCAGGGCGATTCTGTAAGAATCACGTCATTTAGTGAAAAAAATCTATTGATTCCATTTTTTGTGTAAAAATACAAAATAAAATTGATTAATTACTCGTTTCAGATATTCTATTCCTATATAAATTCGAAATCCACTTCACTCATGCCACCAAACGTAATAACCAATCAAAGATTGAGCGGATGCCGCTTTTCAAATTTGCGTAGATTACCACCTGAGTAGATTCAAATTAGCGTTTAAATTTTTACAGAATCGCCGGGCTGGGCCCGCGTAATAGATTATGGCTAGTCCATATGGACCCATTCATCTATCTAAACCTAGCAATGGGGCATCAATATGCTGATAATAATTAATTATACTTAAATGGTGCCTTAAACTATATTTCACTTTGCATCTACAAAGTTACATTTGTCCAACTACTAAGTATTTTTAAGACAAACGTCTATTTTATCATAACGTAAAGTTCAATTCAATTACCTGGACATTGGCTTGGCAGAATGCATTTTCCATCAGGTCCACTCAAATATCCTGGTGCACATTGGCAGCCAACAGTTGAACACGCTCGATTGCAATTTAAATTATCAGGTTGGTCACAAGTGTGTGGACACGCGGCAGGACATTTCCTGACAACTGCGTAAGGATCACCGTTACAGCCGATATTTTCTAGAATCAGAAATAAATATGTTATCACTATTATACAAAGATTTGCAGTCATGACTACTCTTTAATAATAAAAAACGAACTGTATTATTTTACTGAAGTCGTGCGGAAAATTATTATCATTAAACATTTATAGCTTATTATAAACGGGTATTAGACGCGATAGTCGTTAAATGACGAACCCTGTTTTACTCGTGTCATTTTATCAAAGTGTAAACACATAAGCTTAGAAATAATTACCTATAATTATAATTGATCAATTTTGCATTCACAATGCTATATTAGATAATATTATTAGTGAAAAATGCTTAAAAAATCCCTGGTACTCTGAGACGGGATTCACCTCCCGGCCTTTCGCAATCAGGGCGACTGCTCTAACCGCGCTACCCAGGACCTACAAGGACTGTCAATTTTTTTTGTTACCTTTAAAGTTGAGGAGTGGGGGATCGCTACATCACAACTATGTAGAAAATATACAAATACATATACACTACCTATATAAAAAATAAATATAAAAAGATTACTTAATATTCTTCAATAATCTACCTGACAGACAGAAAAAAGAATTCTATTCAATATTATTATTATTTAACTATTGAAATCACGTGATATGTCATAATATTATATTATCTAAAACCAAAAGGCGTAAGGTATACTTGTTTCGCTCTCCCACGAAGCATTCTCATTAAATATATGCCAAAAAATTGTCAAATTAATATGTTAATTTTGAATTACTGTTTCTTTAACACAGTTTTCATCTAATTATTGAGAGTAAACCTTACGTGGACATTCTTCTATTTTGATACATTTGCCGCCCGCTTCAGATAGGATGTATCCTTCTTGACACTGGCATTCATCGATATTGCTTTTCGCTGGCTGACTAGCGGGACAGTTTTTTGGATTGGGTACTGCGCAAGTTGGTCTGCATTCCGTGGAAATCGGGCATACAAAAGCTACAAAAAAGTTTACGATAAAAAAAATGCCTTAACACAACTGCCAAAATAGGATTAAAAGAAGGATAGCGAAGTCTTAGTTTACACTTTAGGTACGGAACCCTTAAAACAAGTTGTATTAGGGCTTATTGGTATTGGGCTGGTAGGTCACATTAGGTTTTATCCAAAGGTTTTATCTTCACTTAAACAAAATTACCATTGCTGTCAGGGGACCTTATAGATTACAAATGTTCCACAGAACGCATTGGGAGACAACTGCATCGAGGATTTTGTTTAAGCATCTTATAAAAAACGAAGGATTTAATCAGAGGGGTAATTAGTACTAAATATCCAAATCGTCTTTCTTATCCTCGCTATTCTTAAGCTATTCGGTATAATAATATTTAATTAAGTATAATAATTCTTGTGATATATAGAATTAAAGAACTACTATTTATGTTTGGTGGAACACGATGGGCCAGTGATAGCACGACCGGTCTTAAAAAACTTTCATAATGGCCGGTCATCAACTAGATGACAAAAAAATTAAGATCTAAAATTCCTCCGTATTTCAAAAGTTCTGGTCAAATCTATAATATTAAAACCAGCAATCCACTTTACGACAATTTTCTCTATGTGATTCTATAATCCAAAATGGGAACATTAATAGGCGGATGAACATTGGCTATGTAAAATATTTAATGTCATACTTACGGCATTCACTAGCGGGTATGCAGATATCAGAAGCATTTCTATAGAAGCCATCTTTACATACACATTGAGGCCTAAGATCTCTATTAGGTCGATTACAAGGTTCTTCCAGAGCATTTGCTTCTTCGCACGTTTCCCGGATGCAGCGTGAAGGATTTGGATTCCAAACTTCGTTCGGTCTTGTACATTTTACTGGAGCTATTAAAGAAAAGGTATAAAATAATGAATTGATAAGTTTGTGATTACAACATATGAAAACCTGAAGCAGAAATTTTATTTGGTTGTCTAAGACCAAAGATAAAATAATTTGAACCTCTTAGAGTTATAGTTATTACATACAGGATGATAGCAATTATCTTTATGCCGATGACCAAGAAACTTAAAAACAATATATTTTAAAACTTTTGCAAAGATTGTTCTTCAATATATATATTTAAAATATGATGTTTACATCCAATTCCATATGTCTATCCAAACTAAAAAGTTAAGCGACTAAGAATTTATTCACGCAACATATATTCTGTTATACTTTTCAAATTTTCTTAGTTTTTGTAAACGGGTCCGCCAAATACATACTCAGTATGGGAATTTGTACAAAATGTCAACAATCAACAGCATACCAGGTTTAAAAAAGCTATTACATTTCTCCACTTGATTTAAAGCCTTAATATATTGTGGGTAAAATTGAAAATCAGCTGTGGAAATTTGACATATTGTTGCAATCTGAAATACAGCCGCGTCTAAAAGTAGATATCAAATATTACTTACGGCATTTGGAAGCTTCAATGCAATAATTCTCTTTTGTACTTTTGCGTAAATAACCACCCTCACACACACAACCTGAAGGGCAAGGGTAACGCGGATCACAGATAAGAGTAGCTCGTACGTCGTTGACCGGGCAGTAATTGGTTGGACAATCAATTTTACATCTCACGTACTGTTCGTTAGCTGGACAAATGCCACCATCTAATTGATCAAAATAATAAAATTAAATAATAAACCAAAAGTGCCGAATTGCTAAATCCACTGGTTTTCAAATGATAAAAACCACTTAAATATAAGTCCTATGTTTCGTTATGATCGCAACAAAGATTTCCATCACTGAACCGTAATTAAAACCTTGGACTCTAAACAAAACACATTGAGCATGCAGAAGCCCATGGAAGCTGTGAGAGTGTTAGAAGAGACTAATGTCATGGATCAAAAAACTTTGTGATTCTAACAAAACATTATACAATTTGTAATAAATGATTAGGCCACATTCTTCCGATTTTTTTTAATCTCGTACCTGGGCAGTCTTCAGGCAAAACGCATTTCCCATTCAATAATAGGTACCCTGGATTGCACTCGCAACCTGACTCAGGACACTTCATTTTACAGACTAAATGTCGTTTCGGATTATCACAAGTTGGATGGCATGGATTTGGGCAAAGCTTCTCTGTAGCATTTCTGTCTCCGTTACATCCTGGCACTGTAAAAAAATATTTAATATAGACATCAAGAATTCCATCAATACCTCTATTTATATGTTGATGGAGACTTGACGATTCGTGTATACATGCAGATTTTCTCAGATGCTATAATATCAGATTCGCATTTTGTATTAGAATTATATGTCTACAAAACCTCAGTAGGTACTTATATAGGTACCTACTGAAGTTTTGTAGACAATAGGTATTGTATTTAGTATGTACTGGCACTTTGTACAAGTTTAAGAGAGAAATGCGGTTCTGTCATTAGTTGTTATTTTATTTCTTTAGTATTAGGTCAAATATGATAATATTTACTTTCCTTTTCATCTTTCACAAATTATCCCATGTTTAAAAGATTTTGTGAAATTGGAGGGTGTTTATTTGTTTACTCTTGTATAATCAAGTGAAATGTTAAACTAAATCAGTATAAGCAACTATATTGCAAAAATTTACTTACGTGGTGAAGGACATTGCTCGCTTGGTATACAGACACCTTTAGAGTTCCTCAGGTAACCGTCAATACAGTTACAGCCAGGCTTAGGTACTTTATTTTCATTCTCGCAGTTATATATGGCATATATACTTTCACAGGTTTGAGGAGGACATTCAATTTTGTTCCTTGTAGCTACTTCATTCTTTCCGCATATTGGTTGACGACCTACAAAATTTCACAATACAATGAGAACCAAACTATAAGGTAGTGTCATTGTTTTCAAATATATTTTTTTAATTATATACCTGGACAGTCCTCAGGTAAAATGCATTTTCCATTCGATAATAAGAACCCTGGATTGCACTCGCAGCCTGACTCAGGACACATCATTTTACAGACTAAATTTCGTTTCGGATTGTCACAAGTTGGGTGACATGGGTTTGGGCAAAGCTTCTCAGTAGCGTTTCGGTCTCCGTTACATCCTGGCACTGTGAAAATTTTATAAATCAACGTACATTCGTACTCAAAGATTCCATCAGTCCCTCCATCTATGCGCTGGTGGAGATTTTTTTGTTTGGTGTACATCTGCAGATTTTTTCAGATGCGATAATATCAGATTTGCGTCTAGTGTTAGAATTGTAATTATACAAAACTTTAAGATATACTTGCAAAAATAATGTGTATTTGTACATTGTACAAGTTTAAGAGAGAGATACGATACTATTATTGATACTATATTTTCATTCATTTTCCTAATGCTCTGGAGCTGTGTAACAGATAATATTTATTTTCTTCTTATCTTTTACTTATTGGAACTCATATTTTAAAGATTTTATTAGATTGATGTATTATATGAGTAGTTAAATTCACGTTTTTCTGGAGAACTGGTTAAGTTATCGACTATCTAGACATAATAAGCAACTAAATATCTAGAGATGTACTTACTAGGTGGAGGGCATTTTTCGCTAGGTATACAGATACCTTTAGAGTTCCTCAGGTAACCGTCAATACAATTGCAACCAGACTTAGGTGTTTTATTTTTATTCTCGCAGTTATAAGTAGTATATATACTTTCACAGGTTTGAGGGGGACATTCAATTTTGTTCTTTGTTGCTACTTCATTTTTTCCGCATACTGGTTCACGAGCTGTAAAAGTGCTATGATCTTTAAGACGTACATATTATCATATTTATAAACACAGATTAAAATTAGGTTAGGTATAGGGCTTCCAATTTCCCACACTTCGATTCCTTTATTGGTAATAAGTTGGGATGCAACTCCTCTCAGAAGCCCAGTTTTTAGGATCTTCGCAGGCTTCGCGGAGTATTGATGGTAGATTAACGCTATGCTTAAAATGTTCCATATTCTACAATGTATTTTAAAATGAAGAGCAAAGTTTAATTGAAGCCTTTAATAAGTAAAGTTTCCAGTGCTTTGTGAAATTAGATATTAGAGACGAATTACTGATGCAATCAGGAATCACAGCGTAAGTCGTATAGATTTACCGACTGGATTTATATCCAGGTTATCCTGCAAGGTGCATATATTAAAGAATACTTACAGCATTTGTTTTCCCTAACGCAAGGGCCAGTTGCATCATCGTTAAGCCTTACGTAGCCGGCTTTGCAGACGCAACCAGTGAAAGGCTTGCAAGCGCCTACCGTATTGAAGTATTTGCGGTTAGCGCATGTTTTCTGGCAAGTGTTACTGTTTACGACATATCTTTCCTGTTTGTTGCATCGAGAACCTTTGAAATAATTGTTAAATTCATATTCAATACTATAAGCATATTTAAAAAGACATTGAGGCTTATTAGCTTACTTGGACAATCTTGAATCCTGATACATTTTCCGTTTCGTTCAGATAAAATGTAGCCCTTTTTACAGCAATTATTTCTAGATTCACACCCACAATTCGGTGGATTTCGCTCAGCACAAGTTGGAGCGCATTTTGATAGACACGGATTATAACCAGCTAAAAATAAAGCACTGTTAATATACAATTTCATATATGTACTCGTTTTAAAAGACCATTCTGAATTTGGTGCATTAAACAATTCAAAATACTAACGACATTTGTTGGCCGGAATACAAATTCCATTAGAATTTCTATAGTACCCATCAGCGCATGTGCATTTTGGCTGACAGTTTAGTACAAGTGGATAACATACTCTCGGGGGATCGTTTACATTTTCACAGTTTTCTGCAAGACACTCAGAGGGACATGGGGACCACACCTCATTAGGTCTTGAACAATTTACTGGAGCTGAAAAGAAAGTTATATAAGATTCCATAATCACATCAATACGCATTCAAAATAATCAATTAAAAATAAAGCCCTTAACACCCTAGGTTTTTCTAAACCTTCTTTTTTCACCCCGTTGAACATCTCTTATATCCATGACGAAGCTTATCTTAAGCCCAAGTTCTCAGGCATATAAGTAGGTACTATTAATTTTCAATTTAATTTATAAACGAAATGTCAAATTCTTCAGTTATTATTATTAGAACTTCCCCAAATCCTTTGAGATTGGCGTTGAATAACGTCAATAACAAACGTCATAACTGACAGTTGCACACATCATTTATTGTATAAATTCTTTTGCAAAATCATATAAAACTTCTGGATAAATTCCTGAAATACATACGACATTCCGATGAAAGGATACATCTTTCATCATTGCGACTTAATCTTTTGTGATTAAGTTTGCACATGCATCCAGGAGGGCATGGATAGATTGGGTCACAGACTGGCTGAGCGTCATCATTCTCAGGACAATATAATTCTGGGCAACCGTGTGAGCAGTAGGAAAATGTTGCGTTAACTCCGCATGGGTCTCCACCTGAAATGATCCTTATGCTACAGAATTTCTCGAAAAAACTTGCAGTTCAATCAACTCTCTATTATCGTAATTTTTAACTATAAGAACTACATACCCGTACAATCCCCTGGCAAGATACATTTACCGTTTTCTTCAGAAAGTATGTAACCAGGTGCACATTGACAGCCAACTGGCATGCATTGCTTAAGACACGTTACAGTATTTGGTTGAGCACAAGTAGCAGGACAAGCCCATGGGCAAGAGGTGACCACGGCATTAGGATCACCGTTACAGCCTTGATTTTCTAGAATATTTAAGGTGGGTATGAAAAATTATACAAAAGCTGTAAACGTAGTCTTTGCAAATACGAGTATCAGCTTACGTGGACATTCTTCTATCCTGATACATTTACCACCTAGTTCTGAAAGGATATAACCTTTTTGACATTGGCATCCATCTATATTTTTTTCTGCTGGCTGGATATCGGAACAATCAAACATTGGATATGGATTTGCACATGTCTGTAAACATTCTTGTGGAACAGGACATATCCAAGCTACGAACATACAATTGTAATAATATTATCTTCTTTTAAAAAAAAGTTTAATCAATTATAACAGTTCTATCTTTCTAAAATTAAAATAATACATACGGCAATCAGACTCTAGGACACATTTATTTTCTTCATCATACAGTCTTTTATAACCGTTCTTACAAGCGCATCCGGATGGAGTTGGCCAAACCGGATCACAAGGATACATTCTGATACTAGTCTCTCTGGGACAAAAATGATATGGGCACGTAATCAAGGACTCTACGAAAGTTGAATTCGGTGCACATGGATCTCCACCTAAAATAAGGTTTAGAAGTATTTAATTAACCCTAGTTAATTATGGTTAACCTTATAGTAAGCAGCTCGATGGTGTAATGGATAAGCGCCGCAGCCCGCGGGGCTGATAATTGTATGAAAGTAACACAATAATCAGAAGACATTTACATTTGTATATTTTTCTAAACTATAAACATATCTCTATTCATTGTTTAACTGACTCCACAGTTCAACTGATGACCCATGTGCACTGAATACGAGTTGTATTCTTAGAAACTTTGATTACCTAGAGTAGTATAATTTTTAAACGTGGCTTCACGGACATTTGATAAAATCCAAATTTAATGTTTAGTTGTAGAGAACAGAATTATTATACTTATATAATAACTAGGTAGTAAATGCATTAAGATGACAATATCCCTCACGTATCTTTTGCAAAGGGTAGGTGCATTCAAAGCCCATGTATAATTATATACTGTCTTTCAATAATTCCGAAATACAAGGCTGCAACTGTAATTCTGATTCAGTTCCTAGAACATGTGCGGTGAATTTCCGTCGTTTACGGCTTGCTAAGTCTCAACATTAAAGGGCACACTGTAAAGTTTTTACTGGCTACGTCTCCGTGACACTGAACAGGCCAAACAATTCCGTCATATGGTCTCACGGAAGGTAATTCCACAAGAATAGCTATTATCTCAGCATTAGTCCTATAACTTATTTATATTAAACCTGAAATACTGATCTGATCATTATAATATTCTTTCATCTATGGGAAGCTAAATCATATGCTGGTGATATAGAAAATAATTTAAGGCGGGGAAAGTTACGCAAAAATATATACATATAACGAATACCCTTGGTGTTATTATATTTAACTTACCTGGACACTCTTCGACCTTAATACATTTGCCATAGTCCTCATTGAGAATGTAGCCAGATTCACATTCGCATCCTACTGGCATGCTTGTAAAGCTACAGTTGTTCATACTATTTGGTTGAGAACATGTCGGTCGACAAGCCCACGGACGAGATCTGATTACAGCATGAGGGTCTCCGTTGCAACTTTGGTTTCCTAAAAATTTGGATGATATATTTTTAATAATAGTTATATTAACCAAAGTAAGGATAGCGCAAATAAAATGAGGTAAGATTCCAAATATTCAGCTTTAGAAAATTATAAAACTTCAACTATAAAAGATGATTTGGTTAGGTCAGTTTAGTATTGTAATCAAAAGAAATCGAGAGTCCAAAAAACACAGCAAGCGTATGGCATTAACAGCGCGCGTTGGAATCAAAATTTAATAAAAGCTACACATTAAATTCTATATATCCAAACCTAACTAAATCTTAATTCAGATTTTTTATTAATTCTCTTCATAGACGAAATAATGATTAACATAGGTATTTATGACTACTATTATGTACCAATAATTACTTACGTGGGCATTCTTCAATTCTAACGCATTTTCCGTTTACATCAGTAAGTATATATCCTTCCAAACATTGGCACCCATCAACATTGCTAGTTGCCGGTTCTGGCGTTGCTGCAATAAGACACGCGTCTGGGATTGGCTTTGCACATGTCGGTCTGCATTCCACAGTAATCGGGCATTTAGGCGCTGCAAAATTGTCAAGATATTTTATAAAATTGGCCTATACTTTGCATTTCCTTATTTACAATAGCATATTGCAAACTCCAGTTTTATGCAATAAGTGTCAACTAATAATGCACCCGGATTTCGATTGCAACAATGACCGAAAGTACTACATATATTGAGTCTTGTTTCCTTTCCTTATATAACATTAAGGTGTCAAATACAACGTATTAGTTGTACTCAAACTGCAGGGATTAGGGGCAGGTATATTGGTTGATCGCCTGATGGCGCAATCCGTAAATCATTCTGATTTGCCAACATCTGCTGCCTTTCGAAATTTAGCTTTCTGCGCAGGTTCATCAGTTTCAGCTACATCTGTTGTATCTTACTGAAGATACCGTAATTAAAGCAAGGATAAAGGTATCTAGATTCTGTAAAAAAGTTAACGGCAAAATATAATTGGACATCTATACACATTGCATTACCGTAGTTAATTTGTACCTATAATTTTGGAAAGTACACATAACTCTGTAGTCTTAAAATTGGCACACAAGGAAACACACAACAAATTGGAAACGGTCACAAATCAGAATTAATTCAAATATGTGCCCCCAAATCACCCCTAGTTTCTTATTTCACAAAAGTCCGATCAAAATTGACTTTTTAATTTAATGTAATAAGAAAATATTGGGTGGCATGTGGCACATTTTTAAAATAGGAGTGGTTTTTACCAACTTTGATTTATAGTAAGTATGTCTATGTCTATCCACCGTATATTTCAAAACATGATGTTACGAATATCATTAAGAAGAAAAATTTAAATGTTTGTTCCATTTATTAGACTGCAAAACTATTGATCGTTTTAAAAAATTCTTTATCGGCTGTGTTCATTATACATACGCGGGTGGTATAAGCAATAATTAACTCGGACAAAGTCACAAGAAAACAGCTAGTGTAAAGTAAATTCCTCTTCAAAAGTGGGCATTACGAACTGAAGTACCTAAGCTATTAAAAAGAGAATGTTCAAGATATAACCTTTGTATAGAAAGGCAGAACTGAAAATTGAAAATAAATCCACTCCAGAGCGAAGTAAATGTAAGAGCTTATTGGAATATCCAGGCGAAACAAGTTTTTTTATGGTACAGTAAATCTGATTGAAAATAAATCGCGTTTTTTTCACTCGAGAGACAATTTAAGGCAACTTAAGTTTAAAGAAATTATTAACATAGTTTTTTATGTACATACATAGGTTAGGTTTAAGCAAACCTTCTTTACACATTTTAATTTGATTTAATATCATGTGTTAAGAATATCTTTCCTAATAATATCAGACGATAATATTTGTGCTAAGAAAATATGGATAAAATATCGAGCACTGAATGATGTTTTTATTAAGGATTTTGTAGTGGCAAAATAAACTATTAGGTAATAATTTACAGTTGTTCTGTGATTCCCCGTTTCTTTAGAATAAGGTAATGAACTAAATGAAGTCATCGATGCTGATATTTTAAAGAAAACTGTTTGTTTTTGTTTGTTTGTAAAAGGGAAAAAAACAAAACAGCCGGTAATTTTTTTATTTAAAACCAAATAAACTACGTCACCGGCTACTAATTATTTTAAGAACAAATCCACTCGCAGTTCTCTTGAACAGTTTGTTTTAAATTAAACTCGTTATTCTCATCCACATACGACTGTAGGTAGGTAACAACACAAAAAAAAGACGTAACCATGAATGCTTAAGGAAATAACACAATGTTTGATAATTCGGTTACTCACGTTGTGTATCCGTACCACAAGAACTGCTACCCAACGAATGAGTCATCAGCCCAAACAAAATAAATACTAAAAGCATGACGACCAATCGTTGAATAACTTTTTTAATAGAGAACCGTCTGTTATATATCTGTTGCAAATAGACAAACAGCAGAATTATTAAAATGAAAATATGTTAGAACAATCGATTTCTTTGACTTAATGAATTGAATAGCTACAGTTGTGCAAATTAACAAATTGATTTATTATCTTGTTAACTTTCTTGATGATGCGGTTGGGGCATTAATATGCTGAATATAAAGTTTCAGATTTGTCTCTAAGAGAGTTTTTACAGTAAAAAAAAAAGAATAGAAAGTCTTACCACAAAGTTTTAAATTGTTTTGTGTATTTTAATTGAAACTTCATATTTTGTGTTTCTGCTACACTAGAAGTTTGTATATAACTGATTGATATACTATTTGCACGTTTATTATATTTGATAAATTTTATAAGTCTTAAATAAAAAATGCTTAAAAATTTAAAAGTATTCCAATCAAAAATGCTCCTTTCAAATTTGTGAGACAGTGTAGCGAGCATCTTTGTACGCTAAATTTGCTGGGGAGTGTAGTTTAGTGAACTGATTAGATCTTTGTGTTAAAACTACAAAATTAGAAAATATATTACGTTAGTGAAAAATGCTTGAAAATCGATCAGCCCCAGGAGCACCCAGATGAGCAGTTGCCTGGATACCGAAAGGTTTGAATGTTAGTAAGTACATAAAACGAGTATTTTGCATAATTTATTTAAACAAAACAAATTTTAAAAGGTTTTACAGCGTTTGTATTTAGTTTTATTGACGTTTTGGACCTTTTACAGGTTCCGTGTTCAAATAAGACTAAGGTGTTGATTGTCTTTTATTTGCAAAGCAACTTGCAATTGCAAACGACATTACAACTTTTCTATTCTTTGTAGATAAGTAATACTTAACAAATATTTTTTTAAATCTGGCTTGGTATAAAACGTATATTAAAATTACTAATTGGTTTGAACCATAACTTAAAACCATTACAGAAGGGAAAGACGTCAAATTGGGACGTGTTGACTTATTTTGGTCTTGTGGAAAGACTAAACCTTGCACTAAAGTTAGTAGAAACTCGTTTTATAATAACTTTTTTGTACTATCTCTTCAGAGACGGGTTCTCGGAAATAGATTTTTCTATCGTCGACATCGCATTCGTGTGCTCGTCCAACTCCCTTCTACGGCGGGGAAATTCGAATAGATTACTCTACAAAATGACAGTATGACCCGCAATCATTATTATTAAGCAACTTTCGCAAGGGTCGGTCATGGGATGGGTAACCAAAAAGTTGCTATCTCGATCTACTCCGTGTTTCAGAAGGCACGTAAAGTCGTTGGTCCCGGCTAGATTTGTCGTTAATACCATCCAATTTCCATTGCATGGAGGGTTATGGTCCTTAACCATCCATAAAGAAGGCCTTAGCTGCAATGGGGACGTAAAAAGGCTGATGATATGCCACCATATACGTGCCGCACAAGTAAAGAAACGTCATTAAGTGATCCATATCTGTGATGGAGTGATTTGCCCAGCCCGCGTAGCAAGATGTACTCAAAAACGTTTCGCCTAAATCCAAATATCACTTTTCCAAACTACTTATCACTCTCGACCGGAGAAACCTATTATAAAAGGTGTAGACAAAGTGTTTCTCGAGTTTTTCATGCTACGCGTTAGCCTTAGAATAATGATGATAGTTTTTTTTACTTGTCATAAATGTCGAAGTAGGTTGTAATTATTATAATTTTTAATTCATTATGCAATAGTGATCACTAAGAAATCCCAATAAAAACATAAATAATTTTAGAATCCATCCAAAGGTTACCGATTCATATCCGAACTTCGAAGAACCAATAGTTCGCGCTGATATCTTGAGAATTGAAAAAAAAAAAACAACTGTTTCAGCACTAAACAATTTATTTTGACCTTAAACAAAATGCAGAGCTTGTTGTGAAATAAAAAGTAAAATCACATTACCGAATGTGGTATTTTTGGTACTTTAAGATCTCATCGCTTTTTAGACCGAGATACTTCCCGTCAAAAACACTTTCCTTAAGCGAGCGGTCACCCGAAAAGGTGGCATAAAGGGCGCTTTTAGAAACAGGTGCAACCAAAGGCTGTATTTTATTGAAGCGCCACTTAATTATTTAAGGCAGTTTCGTGGGTCTGAACTCGAGTCTAGTTACCACGAATTGCAACATCTTCGACCATAAAGAGCTTTAAAGTGTACCTTTTAGAACGTCTGACCTCACATAGACCTTCTCTAAAGGACCGAAATGAGGGTGCAATCGTTAAATATTCAAACACACTTCATTCAAGATACGTACGAAAAGGAAAACGGTAGGATACTGAATTAAATACATAAGTAGTTGGTGACATTCCAGTCCGTAGAATCAAAGATCCGAATGAGGATTTATTTTCTTAGCTTATTTTATTGTTTGCAAAAAGCTTATAGCTGCTTGCTTTTTGCCTTATGGGATGGCGCCGAGTCTTGCTGAAAACCCAATCCTTATTGTGAAATAACGTATCAGACAAGGGTTTCACCACGGGCTCTAAAATGTCATTCTGATAATTGTTGGCTTTCACCTTGACACCTTGTTGGCAGAAATGGAGCGGAGTGACGCCTTCGTTCTAAACTCCCCACGATACCATCACACTAACTGGATGATGATTGCGCGAGACATTCCGTAAAGAAGCAGGGACATCCTTGCTACTTCTAGCGTAGATTTTATTGTTTTGTCGGTTGAAATATTAGTCTGCAGAGCGAGTTTCTTCCAAGTGCGAAATGGATTTGGGCAAAGTCGCTCTCGGATGATGTTGATGTTTGAAGGCGCCCTCACAGAGCATGGCCGACCACTCCTTTGGCGATCTTGCAGAGAACTTGTCTCTTTTTATCGCTGTATTGTGTGATTGACAAAGTTACGGCTTACAAGAAAACTTTTCAGCTCGCGGAAAATCTGCATCGGTTTTTTCCCGCCTTAAATAGCGAAATTACAGTTGCACGTAATTGTTTCATTCCTTCCATCACGAGAAAATATAAGCAAATGAATTTGCGATACAAATAAATTAAAAGTTAAAATTCCAAATTCGAAATTCGTTTAAAAATAACTGCCTGTAACATTTTATTTTACTTTTCAGTAAAAAGTTTGTCTCAAAACTTATGAACACACAAGGTACACCGATTTGCTCAACTAAATTTTATTAATATCAAAGTTTATCCTTTTTATTATCTATAATATATAAATTATACTATATAATTCTCGTTCATATAATCCCAAATGTTCAAATTAAGTTGTAATGTAAGACAAACAACAAAGTAACTTTTGTCTCTTTTGGATTATTTTTATGTCTCTAGTTGGATTATTTTCACGTGGGCGTCAGCTCATCAAAAGAGAAGCCGCCTTTCGAGCACTGGTATCTATAGTGAAGAGAAGTAATTACTTGAGAAAAAATACTTTTAACTGTTTGAACTAATCATTGTACTCTAATATTAACAGTTCTTACTGCATTCAATTTCTTGTTTATTTGTTAAAAATATCTGCTGAAGTCATATACACCCGGTTTCTAAATTGAAAATTTAAAGTTCAAATTGTACTTAAACGTCGTTTAAGCAGCTGTTTGATTTTAGTTTTTTTCCGTGATCAGTTGATAAAAATAGGACTGATTGACTTGTGAAACGTAAAAAACTTAAGATGTTAATATTAATCAGTTGAGATTTTGTATTTTTCTTAATTAAAATACTAAAATCATAAACGAAAACCTGTTTAAGTGGCGTTTAGATACAGTTTGAGACATTCTTAACTTTTAATTATGAATCCAGAAAACGGTTGTTAGAGTCAATTTTGGGATTTTATTCATAGACATTAAAATAATAAACTTTAAAAAAAGCTTTCTTTGAGTTAGACTAACTGTGAGATCTATGGGCTGATTATAAAAAAGTAATAATATTTATAAATACTTCAATTCACACAGTGCGATTTAAAATTCCGCGTCTGCCCATATCGAAAGCCATATTACGTCCACTGAGACGTAACACAAAGAGTTATTAAATTTAAAAATGCAACGCGGCGAGATTGCCGCGAGTTCCCGAAAATGTTTGAGAGCCCCACAAAGGGTTACAACTAGGGTTGCCAGATGGGAAGTGTAAAATAACTGGGCAAAATTTCATAAAATTGGGATTACTCGGGACAAAAAATGATACATCGATCCTTCGCCTGGGAAAAATATTGATGATTGACAAACAAAGATAACGGAATTATTTCTAGGTTATTTCAGAAGTTACCGAGCGATTGATTGATTGATTCATTAATGATTTTACCAATTATTTAACATTTGGCATGAAACACATTACATCATTGTTTTTTTTTTCGAAATTTCACATCAGCTTGTTTTAAAACATAAGTAACTAGTCTTAAGAGATGGGATAATAGTTAAAAAAGAAATGAAAAAAGAAAACAGCCAGTGTTCAATGCTTATTATTATTACTTTTTCGTGTCTATCAAAATACGAGAAACAAAATATTAATCATCGTCACTGTTGTAATTAATTACAATCGGAACACTTTGAGTCGCAAATAACTTAGTTAGGACCTCAGCAGGACGTACGATTTTGGACAAATATCATCCATATGATAGATAATAAATAATAGCTGCTACATGAGAACAGCATCCCACTGTACGTTCGCCATTGGGGCAAGCACAGCAATAACGAAGAATACTATTGTAGTCATTACCTTCGGAAATATAGTGAATGTAAATTCGATAGACTTTTCTATTTATATGTCTTGATTTCACTTCTGCTTTGATGATATTAGGTGCTGATTTCACATATTGTACTGACAGATTATTTTGATCGTCCATTATTTCGGCCAAGTTAAATGCTGCACATTTAGAAGTAGAAGCTTTTTTGTTAATATATGGGATAAGTCGACACTTCTTACAAAAAATATCATTAACTATTACGATTTTATTCAAACAGTCACTAAACACTTTAGCTTCTTCTTCATTCTTTATAATTTTTTAATAACCAGGAATCTTACACAGGTACTTGTTACAATTTTTACACTTTGTCGACATTATTACTTAATAATGATTTGGTTCGATAGTTAATAATTTCAAAATGCTGATACAAAAAACCTATGACAGAATTTGAGTCCCAAACTGCCTTCTTGTGTAATACAAATGACTGCTACTTTAGCTAAACAAACGATGCAGTAAACAGCTCGATAACAAGTTCGAACTTGTTTGTTTATACACTCACACTACAAGGCGCGAATCACATATAATTTTTTTTCGTTGTGTTGCACCAACTTTTTTTTCACGCAATTTTTGTGGGTGATAGAGCACACAAAGGAGCATAACATATATTAATTTCGTGATTGTAAGTCACAGAGAATTTCTTTCTTTACGGGATTCTGGACATTCTCTGAAAAAGCGGGAAAATCCAGTCCAATCCCGACCATCGGGCAGCCCTAGTTAAAACACGCTTAAATTCGGCATTATTAGAATGCCGAGTAAATACTTTTTGTTTGACGAAATTCTTACTGTTAGATGTGTGGTGAAATGGAGTATATAGATTAAGAATCATTTGTTTACTCGTCAAATACGGTTTATATTTAGCATTACTTTATTTAGCCCAGTGCAAAGTTGTTACTGGATTTATTCCAAACTATATGTTTTCTTGCGACTTTGACCGCGTAAATGGGTAAGTATACACTATATGCCCCGCGTATAATGTACCTTCTTTTAGATGAAATAATTTTCATGATTAGACCAGTATTTTAGAAGATTACCCCCTACAAACAAAGCCAGAGACCTTTTTATGATATTAGTATAGATAAGTAATACCTAATTTGTCAATTTTCCATATATCATCTTAGCCCTTTTACGTCCCTATTGCAGGGTCTTAAGCCTTCCTTATGGATGGTTAAGAAAGATAGCCATGCACGCTGGCCCAATGCAGATTGGAGGGTATTAACAATTTTTTGGTTACCCATCCCGTAATCGACCCTTGCGAAAGTTGCTTAACAACACCGATGGCGGGCCGCAACGCTTGTCGTCTACGCCACCGAGCATTTTCCATAAATTTTTGCATACATTAGTAATTTAGATTTGGAATAGTATCTTAGAATTTATGTTACAAAGGTCAATTTGCCAATTGCCATCCTAAAGGTTCGATTCCTTGTTTCTACTAACTCTAATATTTTAATATTATCATATTTAATGACATTGAGAACGACTGAAAACAATAACCTGGGAATTCAAGAGTAAAGACAGTATACATAATATAATCAACTCGCCAGGTTTTTTCAATAACAACGTAGCTACAGTAATACATAATTGTTTATCAAACCGCATGTAACACTTGAATAAATAAATCGACGAACCTCGCTGAAATTCAATGTGTATATTAATTCTGAATTATAAAATAACATATTCAATCATTTATGCAACAAGCAGATTTTGTTATGTCAATATAACATTTTATTTACTGCATAATTAAATATTGTGTAACAAGCAACTCTAGATTTTTAAACTAGATTTAAATTTTAAGTCCGTAACAAGTGAAATATTGATTACTAGCTGTATTCCAGCGACTTCTCTTGTATAAGTTAGTGTTTGTCCCCCGCGTATGAACCTTTTTTTTTGTTCTGTGAAGCTACTCGTAAGTGTAAGTATTTTTAAAACAGGTATGTCCTCTGTAGTTTTGGAGCCTATTGAATGCAAACGAAGAAACAATCTCTTTATAATATTGGACAGATAAAATTTATTACCTCAAAGTCCTCCTTGCTTCAGTCCTGCAGTCCTTAATACCCACCAATCCGCTCTGGGCCCGCGTGGTTTGTCATTGCCCATTCTCCCTATTCGATTCCATTCCATCCATAGGGTAGACCTTAGCCCCAGCAGCGTAAATATTTATAGGCGGTTGATGACGATATTCGATAAAATTTAACAATTTCACAAGATGGTTGATGTTAACCCGATCCATGTCATATGTAGGACTGGAAAGGTAATTTTATTCCTATTTAGCGGAACTAGAGGTGAGACAAAATTCCGAAATACTTTATCAATCTATTATTATAGATTAAACTAGAATGTGCACCAAAGTATAACCCAACATTAAGCAGACATTACAGGAAGATTGTCTCTCGCGAGCTTGATGTTGGTGTTGCCTCAGGTACCGCGATCCAAGCGATGCATAT